ATCACCAACAAATGCACAAGCTAATGATAAACGTCTTTTCATTCCACGTGATAATGTATTACAATAAAGATCTTGTAATTCTTCAAGATCAGCTAAACGAAGCATTTCAGATGCTATCTGTTGTTTATTTTTTCCAAATCCTCGAGCTGTTGCATAAAATTCAATTTGTTCTTTTATAGTTAATAAATCAAAAAGAATATCATGTTGAGGACAATAACCCATCGATTTTCTTAATAATTCCATATTTGTTCGTGTATCCAAATCTTCTCCATCTTCACTTTCAATTGTTATTATACCAAATGTTTGTCTATATATTCCAATTAAGCAATTAAATATTGTTGTTTTACCTGAACCATTTGGTCCAAGTAATGATGTGATTTGATTTTCATATAAATCAAATGAGACATCATTAACTGCGATTTTATCTAGACCAAATTTTTTAACAAGATGATTCACATGTACAATAGGTCTGATATTAGAATGAGTTCTTTTAAGAGATAAAGCACGATCAGGAAATGATTCAATAGTATGATTAACTTTTTTCAAACGCCAATAATTTTGTTTGAAAAGAAAATTCCAATCAAGTGAAATACCATATTCACCTGAAATTTAAAAAAATAAAGATTTAGTTAGTAGAATATTTTAGATTAATCAGAAATATGTTCCATCATATTACATTAGTGTGTTAACAATGAGACACAAGGATATACAAGAGTACAATCATCGCAATAGGGTAGGTGGGTATGTATAGGTATGGACTGCTCTTCGTCCACACCCACACTCCGATCTCATACACAGTTATTCCCAATCGATATCTGTAACTATTAGTCATTCTTTACCTACAACAACTTTTTCCAAATACCAAGATAAAATCCAATAGAAGGTACAACTAATAATCATAATAATCAATGTTACAAAATATATTGGTACATGACGATAAATTGTTTGAAAGAATGCTACATTTTTATATGCTAAATCATGTAAAATTACTTGCTAAAAAATCAAAAGAAACAAAACAAAATTTTGGTTTCGAAATCTAATAAATAAAATTTTTTACTTGAAAAATAGAACGTCCAGCAATATAGGGACTAATAAATATGAATATATATTGTATAGCTGTTGGCCATCCAATAATAAATGGATATATAAATACTGATAGACCATATATGAAAAAAGTGCCTAATACTGCTCGAAAAGTTTTATCAAATAATTGTGCATTCATTATACAAAATGATATTAATTGTAAACCATGTATTAAATATCCAAGAAAAAGAACGCCAAAATTAACTATGTTAAAATATGTATCAGATTTCAATTCTAATATAAATATAATACATAATAATATAGTTAAAAAACAAAGAATAATTAATGTTCTAAACACAAAAATAGTAAATTAAATTCGAAAAATATTTAACCCTTTGATTACCGAGTTTTGTTTTAAATAAAAAGGTTTTTTGTATTATGAAAAATGCTGAAATAAACTTTATTGTTATATTTAAGCACTTTCAGATTTGTATTAAAATATAGTAGTCAGCACGTATATACACGTGACTCGTAATCAAAGGGTTAAAGAAAGAAAATAATATTTTACCGAATTGCTTGAGCAAAATTATTTAAAATAGGTTCAATTCCAATTACTTTAAGAATTTCTTTAACTTTAGCATTTTTTTCTTGAATTAAACTGGTTAGAAGAATTAAATATCTAAGAAATAAAAATATATACATCTATTGATTTAGAAATATTTTACATACGGAATGAAATATACAAAATCAATAAACATTACAACTATTATTACGAGTGGTGATCCTGATTCTAAAAAATAAAATATTTATTTATTTTTTTCGATATATATATAAATTTTATGTTACCAAAAAACAGATAATCTCGACGATATGGTGTACATGTCATAGGTGCTTTTTGAAGTTCAAATGTAATATTTCTATTCGTTTGATAACCAATAAGTAATGCATCAATAAACATTTTTACATCACTAAATTCAGGTAATCTTGAACCAATAGACATTTTTGCATAACTAAAGTTAGGTGATCTTGAATCTTCAAAATCATAATCAGGTCTATCTATTACATCAGATCGATCACGAATAGATGCTAAATATAATGCAAATTTAATCTAACATAAGTAAAATTATCTTTAGATTATTTACATGGATGTAAAAATGATAGAAATGTCAGATCAACTGGATCAGTTTTAGGAATAATGTCTGGCATTGGAACCATTATGTTATCTATATATAAATATATGTAGATTGATTATATTTTTATTCTTTAAATACTTACAATCAAGATTATGTCCATTTTTTAAACTAGATGTTGAACCAAAATCAAAAGTAACTGTATTTTTTTTTTCATTTTGTAATAAATGACTAACATTTTTATCATTCATATTTTGATTCCTGTAATAAAAGTTTTCTTTATTAATATAATTAATCAATTAGATCAACTCACCAAACTTTTATATTTGTACAATTCATATTTTTCAAACGTGTTTTAGCACGTTCAACAAGAACATTCGTATCATTTGTTATTGGTCGAAATACAAAATTTGTTATGCTTACAGCTGTTTCTGAAAGGCAAAATCGAACTCTATGGCCTTCATAACATGGTTGAAATTTGAAACAAATTTTTATTGAATCTGTTGATAAATTTGTTGTTATTGTTGTATTTCGATTTTGTGGACATCGAGAATGATACGAACTTCTTGAAGCAGAAAGAGAACTCTTATCTATCCATTCAAAGAGTGCTTCAGTTTCATGACGTGTTAAAGCTAATAATCCAATAAGAATTAATGGAAGTAAAAGTTCACAAAGTATTGTTGGACAACATCGACAATATCGTTGCCGATATGAATATCGAAGTGAACGATGAAGTAATAAATTTAGTTTACGCGATGAGCCAATAGGAGAATATTCAGCTTTTGTTACATGTTGATGTTGTTTTCGTGGTTCTGACTCATTTATATTTATTGGATCATATAAACCTAATTTCAATGGGGGATCCATTGTGTGTTCTTTGTCAATCGGAGCTTCTAATAGATCTATAAGTAATAAACAATAAATATAAGAATATCCTCGATATCAATGTCTATGTTATTATTTCGGATGGAATAATTCACAATGAATTAGAATAATGTATATTATTCATGTACTTATCTTCAGCAGATATCAATAAGTAACCATTCATAGTTAAAAGAAGAATAAAATAGAAATTTTCTCGTATATTTATGTCTATATTTTCTCAGAAAAATACGATAGGTTTACAGACGTGCAGAATTTTCTCTGAGATAAAAGATTTTCTATTAATAGTGGAGAAATTATCCAAAGAAGAAAAAACTTTTCAAGTAGCCGCGCGCGCAAGTCAGCATATTCTGCACCGCTGTCACGATATAAACATTTGTGTCTGAATTTCCTTTCTCGCAATAAATTCTTATGAATTTGCAAAGAATGTTAATCTTTACCTTTTTTTAACGTTAATTGATGTGAAATATCTGAACAAAAATCAAACAAAAATATCACGTATGTCAAAAGGAAAACATACTAATTAATCTTTGTTAACTTACGAAGATTGCGGAATAAATATTTTTCAAGTCGATTTCCGCCAAGGAAACGGAGAAAGACAAAAACAAAGTGAAGATAAATAAATGACCTAAGACAATCGATGATCTACGTCAATGCTTTCTCTTTTTTTTTCTTCTATTCACTATAGATTAGTTGTTTATTAAATGTTGTAAATATAAATTGAAAAGATAATCAAACAGAAACAGAAAAAAAACGGCATTTCAAATAACTAGTATTTTTAAATATAATATGGGAATGAATTATAATGGACATTATATATTTTATTCTTTTCATAGAAGATAATACCTTACACATCATTAGTTTTTGTTGTTGTCACTTGACGTAAATAATTGATGAGTCTCGAAAATGTGATTGACGTCATACCCTTTCATGATAAACGAATAGAATTTATAAAAAGAAAAGATAATTGTAAGAGAGATAAAAACAATTACAAATGTTTTTTTCAGTATTTTCACTTTGGTATTATTTAGATAAATGATTATACTGAAGAATCTTTCTCAAACATAAATTTGATTTCATATTAAGTACTAAGAATTTATTGTTGCATATACATTTAATATTAAAAAAAACTAATTCCTCTGGGTCTCATCATTTTTTTACAACAATCTTTAGTGATAAAAAGTTTAGTCTATTCTTTTTAATGCAATTCTTATTAAATAATTATTTTCTTTGAATTGTATTTGTACTTAATAACTCATCGGTAAAATATGACTTACAAGAAAATTTATTTGAACAGCTGTTTGAGTAAGAAATGCTTAAATTTGAAATTTAAAAACTTGTCTAGATTGTTATCTGATAATGACAATTTGTCTTTAAGATGGGACAAAAGTCACTTTACCAAGAAAAAAAGTAACATACAAGATGGCACAAAAGTCATACTTTGTCAAAATATTAAATGTTTTCACTACAACTGCAAGAGACAATATGCGTTTTTTTTATTAATAATAGAGATGTTTTCAAAATTTTTATTCGCAAAGACATAGTTAGAGAAGCTTTTAGTAAATATATTATTCTTTTCTTTACACTTCAAAGAGTAAGTTTTGTTTTGTTAAGATAAATATTAATATTTAATAAAAGATCTTTTTAAGCACGTCTTTATAAATATAGACTTTGAGCTTGTCTCTAATATTACTATAAAAATATACGGTTCCACGCGAGCCGTAATGGAGATACTCAAATTTCTTCGCTTTATTCTGATATCCACACCCACACTTATCCCTGAAATGTTCAATATATTAAAAAAAATAATTGTTAAGTTTCTGATGATCACTATGTTTATTGTATTTCATGTGCAAATCAACGAATTTATGTTTCTAAACGTCGGCAAGAATCATCTGCTAATGCTTAAAATTGTTTATCATTTGTTTTTTTGATGTGATATTTATAATAAACTCGCTTTTCCATGATTGTTTTTAACAATAATAATAAAATTCAAGACTTTTAAAGATATATGATGGTAGTTTTTAATGTTACAAAAAAAAGCTTTTAGTATGAGATAATTAAATATATTTGTTTAACAATACAGATTTATAATTTTAACACATCTGAATTATACAGCGTTGATTTTGTGTGAAAAATATTTATATTCAAAGTCAATTGAATATCGAGGGTGACTGGAAGATAACTACTAAAATTGTCTAATAAAACGTTCTTTAGCATTCTATAAAAAATCTCGTGATTTATATGTAAATTTATTATATGAGGTAAATGGTGTCTTAAAAAGCAATTAAAATAACATTTATTGATATATAATTTATTGAAACGTGCTTAAGTATGCTCCAAACTCGATATGATAATTTTCGTCATATGAGTTATAAATCTATCGAAATATATGACTAGACTAAATGTCACTCTTGTTTTATTTCATTGATAAAGTCTAGTATTATGCTTTGTAAAATAATATCTATTCATTTAACTTCTGATACTACAAAAACGTAATTCACATAAGACTACCAATTATAACTTGTACTTTAATTGATTAATAATTGACTATTGTTTGCAGTAATAAATACTTTTTTGAAATGTATTCTATTGATACTAGAATTGAAAATTCTGTCTACAAAGATCAATAACCTATTGTCGAAAGGGGTGTGGGTGTGGGTGTAAGTGTATTCTTTTCTCACCCACGTCCACCCTCAAGATAATTTGAGAATAACATAAATTGAAGTAATTTGTTGAAGGTAACCAAAACTAGACGTTAACATAATAGTGCATATTGCATCATACGTTGTTACAATAAGAATCATATTAATGACTCAATACATCAACACGGAGAGTACTGATAACTATATTTTTCCAGTTTCTTATTATTTTTCGTTATATAGTTCAACTTATAGAATATGTTGAAATCGACTATGCATTATGTAACAAGTGCTGTAAGTATGTTCAGTTTATTCTGGATAAGAAGAAATTCCGATGAATTCTTATTGAGTTTTTGTGATTTTCAAATGTAAATTGTGTTTTGTTTTTTCTCATTTCATGATCATTGTCATATTAAATATTAAAAGATAACCTTTTAAAATGTCTTATTGTAATCCATCCTAGTTATTTTTAAAAGGTCTTCTCCTTCTTTGTCACAAATGAAATGTAATAGATACCTATTATATCGTGGAGAAGAAACCGAAACATAATAATTCCGGAGTTAAAATAAGAGGATTAAGAAGGATTGTATATAAGAAGATGGTTACCGTTTAGTTTTTTATTTTTTTTCAAAACAAAGACGACATATTAATCCACGATCAAAGGTATGGAGCTTATTTCATAAGAGTCAGAGGAGAAGTTTTAAAATATTGAAGATTTGAATCGTGTTTGAGAGGATCATATAAATTGTATTATTCGATTTTATTTAGATTACGACTGCCAGTTATCCTTCAAAGAAGTTGTTGAAAAAATATTCTATAGACCTTGAACTCTTTGCTAAAGCAAGACCCCATTCGTAGTTAGATAAATCAGTCAAAGCACAATCAAGTATCAGTTTCCTTTATAGGCCTAGCAATTGAGAAAATAAACGTTTATATTTAAGGACGGGCGTGGGTAGATGCGATTACGCGTATTATTGCAACAGCCACACCCATATTCAGTTTTAGATGAAAACATATTTTCCAATTGAAAACTGATTTTCTTTGCGCAAGAAATGTTGTGCCCTAAGTAACTTCTCAATTCTAAGTGTACTTATAGTTACAGTTAGTATTACTCTTAATTTTGCGTGTGCAAAATAAAGCATTTCAAAAGTGTATTCATATTTGTGACTTAGATCGAATGAATTTCTTAGTCAAATGAATATGATCTATATGATGATAAATGGGTCTCATAATTATAACTTCAGAATGTTTTCTTCTTCAAGTTCTTTTCAAAAATTTAGATTAGGACGATTCCATCACACGATTTCTATAATAAAATTAACATTTTTTCGAAGGAATAAACTAACAACTTTTCCATCAGTAATACGCTTCTAATTTTTTTTCTTAATTGATTTTACCTTTTCAGAATCACAACCAACATCACCAAGAAAAAAACTAACAACTACAGTATCACCACAGTCAACACTTAAAAAGTTAACTAAACCTAATTGCCAAAACATGGAATCTAAAAACCCTCTGATTCACAAGAACGAAAAAGAAGACATAGAGATGGCAGCAAAACGACTGACTGCATATGATGCATCACCAGAATACAAAGTAAGTAGTGTTGTTGTTGTTTAGAGATACTGGCTTAGTATTGGTGGTGCATTATCCTGATGCTAAATTAGCACCTCTAATTCTGTTTTATCTGAGTTTTAGCCAGAAAAATAGATATCTTATATGCATGTGTGTTAGAAAAAGTTACGAAATGAAATAACTATTTTGGACAGATTAATAGGACGGTTAATTCTATGTGTAGTAAATGTTGAGGGTGTGGGTGTAGATAGGTGTGGACGCAGAATGAATCGCATACCCTTTCTCACACTAACACCCACACCCTCAACTAAAGTTACGAGAACAATCAACGCTTTTCAAACAATTCTAAGTGAATAATTTTTTTTCTTATATTTAGTCTGAATCAGAGAATAAAAACAATATTACACAATCTACTCGTCCACAGACAGGATCGTAAGTATATTAGATTTGTTTATTCGAAATGTATCTATGACTTTAGATCTTTATTTCATCGGAAAGCAATATTGATTTTAATTATGATTGTCGTTCTTATCCTAATAACTATTATTAGTGTTACAATATGGGCTGTTTTCATTAAAAAAGCCAAAACAACAAATAATACAACGCCGACTAATTCTTACACAACAACAATGAATAGTAAAGCTTTGTTATAAAAGAAAAAATAAGAATTGCCATATTTCTTGAGTCAAAAAAATAAGCTCCACTTGAATTTCAAATATGTAGCACACTAGCGCATCTATATTTTATCTAATGATATTTGAAATTAAATAGTCATCCAAAAAAAAATGAATAATGAAATATAGAACAAATCCGTTACGAAATGGGAAGTGCTATTTCCAAAAAAGGATAATAGTACTCAGTACATGAAAGGATCATTTCCATAATAGACCAATTGCGTTCTATTTTTCGAAACTTTGAGATGTGGGTATATTAGAGGAATCGCACACAGCTACGCCCACTATCAAGATTTTCATTACTTTAATGTTAATTTAATACTAAATACTAAAAGATAAAATTTATTTCGAGTTGAAATATTTCAAATCTTTATTCATTCATTTTATTTTACACAATTTTTTTGAAATTCAAATCAACTATTTTTTCTTGACAAATTTTCTGAAACATTTTTTTTTCAAATTAAATATTAGCCAATTTGTTTCACAAATAAGTTGTCTTTCAACAAAAAATTTCTTTCTCTTCAAAACTTAGAATCGAAAAATAAAAATTTCAAATTCTATTATCTTCTCAAAATACAATACTTCTTCATTTTACTTTAATTTTACTTCAAGAAAACAAGAAAACATTTTTTTATCAAAATAGTGTCAAAAGAATTTATTTTTATTTTCCAAATATAAAGCTTCGAATGTTTTATGTTCTTTTTCAATAGAATTTTTCCTAAAATTTAACAAAAACACAAACTCAAAGTTTCATTGAAAACTAATCTATTCTCTTTTTCTTCGATAAAATGCAGATTTTTCTTCTCCTTGTTTTCATCAAAATCATTCATTTTCATTCTTTTTTAGAACCAAAACTCAAAAAATGGAAACAAAATGCCATCACTGTAGCTGGTGGAAATGGAGGAGGACAACAATTAAATCAATTAAAGCACCCTCGTGGAATCTTTATTGACAAGAAGAAAAATATTTTCGTTGCTGATCAATATAATCATCGCATTGTTGAATGGAAATATAATGCAAAAGAAGGACACATCATTGCAGGTGGAAATGGTAACGGAAGTCAAATGAATCAATTAAATGAGCCGACAGATGTGATCGTTGATCAACAAACCCATTCGATTATCATTGCTGATAAGGGGAACAGACGAGTTATTCAATGGTTTAATCAAAATCAACAAATTCTAATTGAGAATATTGACTGTTATGGCTTGGCAATGGATAAAAATGGATATCTTTATGTTTCTGATTGCAAGAAAAGTAAGGTGAGACGGTGGAAAATGGGAGAATACAACAACGAAGGAATTGTAGTGGCAGGTGGAAATGGAAAAGGAAATGAACTCAATCAACTTGTTTATCCTACTTATATCTTTGTTGATGGATATCAATCTGTTTATGTATCAGATATGAGCAATCATCGTGTGATGAAATGGAGTAAAGATGCAAAAGAAGGAAAAGTTGTGGCAGGCGGAAATTGTGAAGGAACACATCTCAATCAAGTGTCTTATCCTGCAGGAGTTACTGTTGATGATTTGGGTCAGATCTATGTAGCAGATAATTCGCAGAATCGAGTAATGCGTTGGTACGAAGGAAAAGAAGAAGGTGAAATTGTTGTTGCCGGAAATCGCCAGACAATTCAACCAGATCATTTGTCTGGACCTTGTGGTTTATCTTTTGATGATGAAGGAAATCTTTATGTTGCTGATTTTCATAACCATCGAATTGAAAAATATGAAATAATTTTGTAATGAAATTTTCATTTTGAAGAAAAGAAAAAAAATTTTATTAAATAAATATTTTTTCTAATATTTCTTCTTAATTGATTTCACTTTTTCAGAACCTCAATCAATATCACCAAGAAAAAAACGTAACAACTACAGTATTACCACAGCCAACGCTTGGGAAGTTACCAAAACCTAATCACCAAAACATGGAATGTCAAAATCCTCTTATTAAAAAGAACGGAGACGAAGACATAGACACGGATGCAAAACAAGTGACTGCGTATGATGCATTACCAATATACAAAGTAAGTAGTGTTGTTTGGGGATGTTAGATTAGTATGAAAGTTAGTTTGATACTGAATGCTTTGAGTATTAGTAGTAGATTAATGCTTCATACTTTTGCGTTAGTTTTAAGTTAGCATTAGGATAATGTTAATACTTATCATCCCTTGGAACAGAACGAAAGTGTTCCGTCATAGAAATGATTGATTCAAGTTGGATTTTTATTTATAGAAACGTAAATATATATAATCAGAATCAAATCTCTCACTGTTTGTTTATTTCACTTCTTTTTCTGAGAATTCTCACACAGGATTAAAAAAACTGTTAAACATATTCTTATTTTTATTCGACATGAAATAAATTTGAAAGATAGATGAAGTACATTAAGAAATATTTCTGAAAGATATTTAACTTTCTTCATTATTATTCGAGAAGAGATTATCAACGCTTTTCAAACAATTCTAAGTGAATAATTTTTTTTCTTATATTTAGTCTGAATCAGAGAATAAAAACAATATTACACAATCTACTCGTCCACAAACAGGATCGTAAGTATATTAGATTTGTTTATTCGAAATATATCTATGACTTTAGATCTTTATTTCATCGGAAAGCAATATTGATTTTAATTATGATTGTCGTTCTTATTCTAATAACTATCATTAGTGTTACAATATGGGCTGTTTTCATTAAAAAAGTCGGAACAACAATTAATGGTAAAGTTTTATTATGAAACAAAAAATAAGAATTGCCATATTCCTTGAGTCAAAACGAAAAATAAACTTTCCTTGAATTTCAAATTTGTGGCTCACTTACGCATCCATATTTTACCTAGTGATATTTGAAAGTATAGAGTCATCTATAAAGATTAATAATTAAATACAGAAGAAATCTGTTACGGAATGGGAAGTGCTATTTCCAAAAAAGAATAATAGTACTCAGCACTTAGAAATAACACTCCCAAAACAGAATAATTGCGTTCTTTTTTTGGGACTTTTGACATGTGGGTATATTAGCAGAATCATCTACAGCCACGCCTACCGCCATCCCTAGTCATACCCACATCCTCAAGATATTTTATCTCATAAATCATCTGATATTCCTTGTTTTTATTATTTTAATGTTGATTTAATAAGAAAAACTAAAAGATAAAATGTATTTCTAATTGACATATTTCAAATCTTTATTCATTTATTTTATTTTATTTTATACAAATTTTTCAAGTCAAATCAATTTTTTGGTGAACAAAATTTTCTAAAACATTTTTTTTAAACTTTTATTTTACGAAAACAAATCAACAGAATCTTTTTACCATTTTCGGTTTTTTATTTCAAAATTGTGATTCGAAAAAAGCATAAATTTCAAGTTCCTTTTCTTTTGGAAACAAAATATTTCTTCATTTCACTTTAATAAAATTAATTCAAGAAACCACAACAGATTTTGTTTTTGAAAACACCGTAATTTTATTTTCCAAATACAAAACTTCAAATGGTTTATGCTCTTTTTCAGTGGAATATTTTTTCAAAATTCAATAAAAAAAATCAAGTCAAATTTGTCTTTTCATTAAACATGCTTATAAACATTTCATTCAACGTTATTCATTTCTCTCTTCTTCTCATTAAAATGTTTTGTTTTCGTCTTTTTCTAGAACCAAAACTCAAGAAATGGAAACAAAATGCCATCACTGTAGCTGGTGGAAATGTGAAAGCACAAAAACTAAATCAACTCAATCGTCCTCATAGTATCTTTATTGACAAGAAGAAAAATATTTTCATTGCTGATCAGGATAATCATCGTATTGTTGAGTGGAAATATAATGCAAAAGAAGGACAAATTATTGCAGGTGGAAATGGTAACGGAAGTGAAATGAATCAATTGAATGAGCCAACAGATGTGATCGTTGATCCACAAACCCATTCGATCGTCATTGCTGATCGTGGAAACAGACGAGTTATTCAATGGTTGAATCAAAATCAACAAATTCTAATTGAGAATATTGACTGTTATGGCTTGGCAATGGATAAAAATGGTTTTCTTTATGTTTCTGATGAGAAGAAGAATGAGGTGAGACGATGGAAAATGGGAGAATATAACAACGAAGGAATTGTAGTGGCAGGTGGCAATGGAAAAGGAAATAAATTCAATCAACTTGTTTATCCTACTTATATCTTTGTTGATGGATATCAATCTGTTTATGTATCAGATATGAGCAATCATCGTGTGATGAAATGGAGTAAAGATGCAAAAGAAGGAAAAGTTGTGGCTGGAGGAAATTGTCGAGGAAGAAATCTGAATCAATTGTTTTTTCCTGAAGGAGTCATTGTTGATGATTTGGGTCAAATCTATGTGGCAGATTGGTGGAATCATCGAGTAATGCGTTGGTGTGAAGGAAAGAAAAAAGGTGACATTGTTGTTGGTAGAACTCGTCATGGAAATCAATCGGATCAATTGAATTATCCTAGTGATTTATCTTTTGATGATGAAGGAAATCTTTATGTTGCTAATTGGGGAAATGGTCGAATTGAAAAATTTGAAATAATTTTGTGAATGAAATGTTGATTGTGGAAGAAAAACTTTTCTTAGTTCAACAAAAAGCGGGAAATAAAAACTGAACTTTTATTGTTGAAAATCAATAAAAAAATCGATTAGAATTTGAAGAAAAAAACATATTTTGATAAAAGGGTGTGGGTGTCGGCTCTCCTCGCCCATATCCACGCTCACACCCACTCACACACTCACCCTAATATACGTCAACAACCACACCCACCCACATCCACACCCTGTTACATCGATCTCAACTAAGATTTTTTAATATTTATTCAAGAAGAAATAAGACGATAAGTGATTACAGCAATCGGCAGAACTTGCGTTAAGCGATAGATAACGTACTCGGATGTATCAGAGACAGTGTTTTGAACTGAATGATGATTTTGTGGCGCGTAGCACAGAGTATTATCCATATGGTTCATGATGATTGTTTGACCTAGGATCACCTTATTATAAAACATAATACGTGTGGTGTCATTATCCGCAGGCAGTGTATACTCATGAGACTTCTGTGCATTGTCAGCAAAATAAGCACCATTACCTACAATAAATAATTTTAAGAATATTCTCCTAATAAGTGCTTTCAACTTACCCAATTGACCATGAGTCTTGAATAAACCATAATCAAACCCTTGTTCCATAATTTTCTTCGCTTTATCGGTGTGTATACCGTGAAACAAAAACTGTTCATTCGGGTTATGATCCGGACATGCATTGATAATTATTTTTTTCATTGATGCGTAGACAATATCCAGTTCAGAATTATGAACTTGTTCTATACTTATAATGATACTTGGAGTAATTTTTTGCATTTGATTCACAATTGTTTTGTAAAGAACTGAGGTGTCTGCTAACAAACTGACGGCAAAGATAGGCTTGATTTGTTGAGGTTTGTTTATTAGTGGGACACCTATCTGCGTCCATCCTCGAGTGACCATTTTTTGAATACGACTCATAATAAGTTCATTCATTAAAGGTAGAACGTGAAATTTCTTGCATTGAATGTTCTCAATAATTTGCTTCATACTAATGAAACACGGCGATTCACTTAGATCGACACGTTGACTGAGCTCGTTGCATTGGTCACGTTTTACACAAAGATTATTTACATCAAGATCGGGTATGCGAAATCCAACATTGCTGTATGGTTCGATCAATTCCAAGGTGAATGGACCTGTAGAATGATACTGATCGAATAGTAACCGATAGGAACGGCGAGAACGAAACAATTGTGGCTTCATATCGAAAGCATTGATCTCATTGCAAAACTTTTCGACGTCAAAGTACTGGTTCAACGGCATTTTACAGTCGAGATCTGAAGGAACCAAAGCTTTCAAAAGAGAAGGGGTACCTGTTAGCGCATCGAATTGGACCCAATTCGAAGGTTGAATTTCTGGTGCAGGGCGAACTCGTTCGTTGGCTACGATCCAATCACGAACAAAACCACCTTCGAGATTACAATTAAATTTGCATACAGCTATCCATGCTACCACTTCCATGCGAGACTCGCGTGTCGCTTTTGGACCACACACACTCAACCTCAGATCCATGTGAGTGCGTCCACTATCAGCAACGCGTGCAATACGTTCTTCCATTGCTGCTAAATGCGTTCTCAGCTTACCAATTAGACAATAACCTACAAGAGGGTACATAAGTTTTCAGATGACATAATGAATACGCGCCACTGATTTGGTTTCTTTCTCATCAACTTTCAGTTAAAAACTACGGATAAGACTCGATCGAACAGAAATGCTATCTTAAACAATAGGGACACATCTATCATATGAGCACTGCTGTTAGACTGTAAAGGATGCTACTAGAAATTACCTGTTACACAGTGATTTCAATATGTCGATTTAAGAGACTAAAATCATTGTATATAAAGGAAAATATTCCCACTATGAAACAAATAGTGTTACGAACAACTGCACACATTTCAATCATGTGTCATGCTTATTTTTCACAGTACAAAGGCACCGCGTCACCTTGAAAATTCCCTGTAGGTATTTTCTTTTGTCAGAAAGAATCGTTTTCTTCCAACATACAACGACCATACAGGTGAATACTGAGTCATAGAAAAAATAATGCGTATGTTGTCAAATCAACAAACTTTGCAAGAAATTTGACAACGATTGAGTAATTCACAATATGGCATTTCAGTAGGTAAAAATCCATGAGAATAACTCACAGCGTCTATATATAAAGTTTAACGTTTGACAAAGCAAATTATCAACAACAGCTTGTCAAAGTCAAACATATGCTAGCAGAAATAATATTAATAATTCCTTACCCATGCTTTACTAAATCACACTGTGAAGAAGTTTAATCTTTTTAGATTGCATTAAATATAACTGCCGACTTTATTTCAATGGAATTGACTCTCTCTCTAATTTTGATCAATATTGCTTGTATTCTGGCGATATATTTGTGAGTATAAATGAAACTTTCCAGAGATGATATGAGTATACTAACGAGTTAAGTCTTGAGGGTGTGGGCATGGGTTTCAGTGTATTCTATTCACACCCACACTCACACCCTCAAGACTAGAGATTTTTTAGCCGTATTTCATAAAACAATTTATTCAATTAACAGATATTCGATACGCAAGCATCGATACTGGAAAAAGCAAAACGTTCCTGGTCCGCGACCGTGGCCGTTTTTCGGCACCTATCTCAAACAATTTTTTGTACCATTTCCTGAAACTGAAATGCAATGGTACAACCAATATGGAAACATTTATGGGTAAACTAGACATACATAAGTTTCAAATGTTTTCATCTCATTTGTTTCTTTCTTTTTTAGAATTTACGACGGCTCAGAACCAGGTAACTACAGTGACAAATTAATAGAACAGTTTAAGCTTGTAGGATGTCTATGTTGTTTTTCTAGGCATCATCGTTGGTGATCCTAATCTGATTAAACAAATTATGGTGAAAGATTTTCATATTTTTACCAACCGTCGACCCGTCAAAACTACCCATCCGATTATGAGTAAATTCTTATCTTCTCTCGTTGGAGACGAGTGGAAACGTGTCCGTTCAATAATGACCCCAACTTTTACAAGTGCGAAGATGAAGCGATTATTTCATACCATGAAAAATTCGTCAGATGATATACTAGATCGATTGGAACAAGTAGCAACAAGACAAAATGGTGAGATCGATTTGAAGGAATTGTATGGTGACTATACAATGAATGTTATTGCTAAGTGCGCCTTTGCAACAAAACCTAACAATATTTTTGTACAGAATGCAACTAAGCTATTTACATTTCCATTTTGGCGAAAATTCCTTGACTATGCAGTCCCCATGTGGCTATTAGATTCTTTGAAATTTACAGTATTACCATCAGATGCAATGGATTTCTTTCGTTCAATTACTGTCGATCTTATTCATCAGCGGCTGAAGTCGAGTGAACATCATGATTTTCTTGAACTATTAATGAATGCCAAGAAACTTGGCTCGAATGAAATATCTGATTCAATCAAAGATATCGATAATGCATTTTTCAGAAAACAAACTGACGATGAGAGAAATCTAAATCACAATGCTCTGGCTAGCGTACAGTTTCATACCGGCAACAAAACATTAGATGAAGATGAAATATTAGCGCAAAGTGTTCTATTTTTTTCGGTTGGTTTCGAAACATCTTCGCAATTGTTAGCTTATTGTACTTACTGTTTATCACTTAACCCTCTCTGTCAGGAACAGTTGCATTATGAAATTGAACAAACACTAAACAGTAATCAAAATGAACTTGACTACAACACCGTATCGAAGATGACTTATCTTGATGCGGTTCTTTCTGAAACGCTTCGTCTTTACAATCCTGTGTTACGTATGGAACGACAAGCATCTGAAGATTATATTCTAGGAAATACAGGTATTGTCATTAGAAAAGGTATGATTGTTGGAATTCCTGTTTGGGCACTGCATCATGATCCACAGTACTATCCTGAACCATATGTATTCAAACCGGAACGATTTTCAGCCGAAAATCGAGAACGAATTGTACCGTATACGTACTTACCGTTCGGTGCTGGACCAAGAAATTGTATTGGAACACGTTTTGCTTTGTTAGAAACAAAGATAGCTCTTATCAAAGCTCTTTCAAAATATCGGTTTATTCCGTCGAAGAACACACAAGTACCACTTCGATTTTTGCCTGTTGGCCGACCTCTGCTTCGATGCGAGCATGTAATTGTTGGTGTTCAGAAACGATGTTGAGCATCGTATTTATCCAAATCATGCCTTTCCTTAGCTTCAACTTTTGTATTATATGTTATTATTCATGCATAAATAAATAAATAAACAGGATCACTCACATTCTGAAGTTTTAAGCAAGTTTTTCAGTTGATGCATTGCCGTGTCGACTACCAACGTAAGGGTGTGGGTATGGGCACAGCTTGAAATTAGCACCCTCGCTTACACCCACCCACCCTCAAGACGTCATATTCGCATACCTGCTGGAAAACGAAGTATTGACAAACAAATATGCAATCGTCTGAACAAGACTTTCAACTGCTTTGCGCTTCGAGCTTTTGACAGTTGTCTCTGTGAGCAGTGTTTAGCTACCCATAGCGACTAATGGCATGATTCCAATAAAAATAGAGATTATTTGAATGAGAAGCATCTATGAAGAGAAGTGTAGAAGCAAAATAGAAATTAGTAGAATTTTAACTTACAAAAGACATTTGTCGCTCGATCTGTTGCCGTGATCGGGATTCATTTGCATTATTTCCAAGACGACGGATGTTTCGCAGTGTTAAACAACTAAAAATGCATAGAATACTACCGGGCAAGAAAAATGTGAAGACATATTGGAGAACCCAAGTCGTATAGTGACAAGAGCTATATTGAAGGCACGAATTTGATGGTATTTAGCATGATATAAGGCGTACCGTGCAACATCCAGAAGATAATACTAATGACAATGCACCAGCGAGCAACTCTATGCGTACTTTTTCGTCGATAGTGAGGATCTTGCGATGTGGCCAGAAACTGATTAATAACGGCTGCACATTCGAGCGTGTGTGTTATTTTGGATAATGATGTTTGTTGTAAATATTGACGTAGTTTGCAGTATACCAACGATGTTCGTGTGGGATCGATGCCGAATCCATCTGTTAAGATATGCCAAGTTATAACATGACCAATATGAAGGGTACTGAAGATGGCCATCCAAGAAAAGTAAAGGGAACAAGGACTTTTGCGAAGTGTTACTTTGCGACTCATAAAAATTAGAACAATGAGGATATTTCCAATGACACCAAAAAAAAGAATGATAGACAAGCCGATGATAGTCATATACTGACTTGCGCTTCTTATACAGGAAACACACGCAGACATTTTTAACTACTGCTACCGTCTGCTGCTTTACTGGAGTCGTAAAATATTACTTGTGAACGTGATATAATTTCTTCCATGACATCTATCTTTCTACAATAATATTAGTCTTTATATGAACGTGTTTTTTTTCTGAATGATAAAAGTATATTTTATTAGAACAACCTATGTATAGAGAATTTTATGAGTGTCATGCTTTGATCTTTGGATTCAAAATCTTGATAGTGGGCTAGGACTTGGTAACTATTTGAAAATTATTCAAGTGGTCATGGTTTTGATAGTTGATGTAGTTTGTGAGCTAGAGTTTATCCGAAGAACATGATATTTCTTATTGATGAGAGATTTTATTTCGATGAGAAATACGGTTCATATTAACCATATTCAGGGTGTGGGTGTGTGAACGTGTGTGGTTTGCTGTGGATGAAGAAGAGACACCGACACCCGACAATCACAGCACACTCACCCTCACACCCATCTTTTTTCGCATTACCATATATGAGAAAATATCTGTTTTAGGTCTTCATTGGTAAAGCATTTCCACACCCTCGAAGCGTATTAAGTGATTGTGCTCAAGTTTTTTTAAGTGCCTACAAATATAGAATAATGAATCTTGAGGGTGGGTGTGGGTGTGTGGATAAGTGTATGTATAGGTTTGTGGCTGTGTGTCTCAACTTATTTAACTTCCTACCGCACCCAAATGTACCCCACACCCACACCCGCACCCACACCAAATATTTTCACAAAAACCTTAACCAACTATTCATTTCATCATCAATCTCAACACATTTAATTCAAATCAATTTCAAATTTTTGTATACGATGATTTCCTTCATCCACAACATAAAGATTACCGTGAACATCGAATGATAAACCTTTGGGGAAAATGAACTGATTTGGTTGTTCTCCTTTTCCATTTACACCAACAACAATACTACCTTCGCAAGATCCTTCACACCAACGCATTATTCGATGATTGCAAGAATCAGTCACATAAACATTACCCAAATGATCAACAATCACTCCTCGAGGATAATACAATTGTGTCAAACTATCCCCTTTACCTTTTCCACCAGCAACAACAATACCTTCTTTTGCACCTTTTATCCATTTCATTACACGATGATTATCACGATCTGATACATAAATTGAATGATCTTGATCGACGAAGATATAAGTAGGAAACTGTAGTTGATTGTGGTGATTTCCTCGTCCATTTCCACCTGCTACTATTGTTCCTTCTGTCTCTCCTTGTTTCCATCGTCTCACTTCATTTTTCCAGTGGTCAGAAACATAAAGATCTCCATTTTTATCCATTGTTAGACCAAAGCCATAAATGTCAGAAATAATTGTTTCTCCAATCTCATGATTTTGACGGGACCATCGTACCACTCGTCTGTTCCATCGATCACAAATAATGAGAGAATCATTCTTTTTATCAACAATCACATCTTTTGGTCGGTTCAATTGATCGCTTCGCTTTCCTTGCCCATTTCCACCTGCAACTACTTGACCATTCTTTTTTCCATATCTCCATTCAACAATACGATCATTCATCCAATCAGCAATATAAATAGTTTGATGATCATCATCAACATAGATACTTTGAGGAACGGAGAGTTGATTTAATTGACTGCCATCTCCGTTTCCTCCAGCAATAGTAACTCCATGTTGTTTCCATTTGGTGTTGATATTAATATGATTAAAAATAATTGATTGTCCTAAAAGAAAAAAGATTTAGTGTATACCTGAATGAAATTGATAAATAAATGCGAATAGAAGACATATTATTTCAAAATGTAATAAACTAAAAATGATAATTTGCATAAAAATGTATGTTGAGGATTTGTTTTGTTGAATTAGTATGTTGAGAGTAGAAGTGTAAGACGTCAGCCGATTTTTGCTGAAACCGACGGCTGACACTGACATTTTTGCTAGAGCCGACGGCTTACACCTATAGTTCTCATAGATGTCATAATACCATTACCCCGGGTATCGACAGTCAGACGGCAGGATATCCTAGCAAGAGGTCAACGAAAAAAAACTAACATTCCCTCCACACATTACACCAAGGAGTAATGACTTCATTACCCCACTAAAAATACATTCATTATAGAAGTTGAGGAATATGAGTGGATTTGGGGTAACGAAGTGGTTACACCAAATCAACTCATATTCCTCAGCTTTAAAGATATACTGTATGTAAAAAGTTGAGGAATATGAGTGGATTTAGTGTAATCACCTCATTACCCAAATGAAGTATATGTGAAAAGCTGAGGAATATGAGTTGGTTTAGTGTAACCACCTCGTTATCCCAAAAATGAACGATATCATAAAAGCTGAGGAATATGAGTTGATTTGGTGTAACCAGCTCGTTCCCCTAACAACTGACAACGAGATCAGTAGCCACAGCAACAAGTGTGGGTGTTCGGAAAGCGAGGTCAGTAGGCCCAGCAACAAGTGTGGGTGCTCAGAAAGCCAAGCCAGTAGGCAAAGCAACAAGTGCGGGTGCTCGGAAAGCCAGGCCTGTAGGCAAAGCAACTAGTGTGAGTGCTTGGAATGCCAGGCCGTTGGGAAAGTGAGACCAGCAGGCAAAGAAACAACTCACGGTGCTCAAAAGCAGTGCATCGGCCGCAATATCTCGAAAAAACGACTAACGAAAGACAGATTTCAATCAATCCTATTTCATCTACAAAATCCAAATTAATTAAACCGAAGCGCCATAGTCACTTCAACTTCCAGAAAGATCAATGGCAACACTCCTTTTCACAATTAATCTCTAACACACATGGCTATTCGAGAATGCTTCCTATTCCCAAAAGTTACACATTCCGGAATTGCTGCACCCACCCAATTTAACATCATTCAATTCCGGAATTCCTTGCATACGATTCCTGCCTTTTCCGGAACAGATCGAATTCGATTCCTGCCAGTTCCGGAATTCCTTCCATCAGATTAATGCTATTCCTGCCGATTCCGGAATTACGAAAGGTATGCTTGATGTAGAAACGAACATGGTGAGCGACTTATTCCATTCCGTAGCGGAATTCCGGAATTCGTGCACAATCCGGCTTTTCCGGAATCGCCCGGAATAGGCAGGAATTCCGGCTTTTCCGGAATTGCACAGGTTAAACTTCATGTAGAAATGATCTTCTTCAATAATCGAATCGATTTCGTAGCGGAATTCCGCAATTCGTGCACAATCCGGCTTTTCCAGAATGGCCCGGAATAGGTAGGAGTTCCTGCCTATTGCGTACTTCTTCACGGACCGAGCCTCCCGCACACCCACACTATTGTGTTTGCCCATCGAGCGAGCTCCCCGCGCACCCACACTATTGTGCTTGCATACCGACGAAAAGTCTCTATGTTAAGTTTTACGTAAATATCAATAGATCGAGCCATTCCGGAATTGGTAGGAATGTGCAGGAATTCCGGAAAAGGTAGGAATCGAATGCATGGAATTCCGGTATAGGCAGGAATCGAATGCAAGGAATTCCGGAATTGAATTATGTTAAGTTGGGTGAGCCAAGCGATTCCGGAATGTGTAACTTTGCGGAATAGGATGACTGCTCGGCTATTCATGACAGTTTCGCGAAATAAGCAAATCAATCTATGTCAATGATATATCTAAAGACGAGGAGGTGAAGATGAGATGGAAGACGTTCCTTTTATTGAAAAATCAGTGGCTATATATAGTCCACAAGAGGATGATGAAATCATCGAGGGAACACAATGAACAAGATGATGAAACCAGAAGAAGGAAAAATGGATAGATCATAAGATGATGAATCATTCAGGGAACAGAATGAACAAGATGATGAAATGTATGAGGAGATGTCACTAGAATATGACGTCATAGGATGATGCAATGACAATATGAAGTAGAAGAAGAAATGAAGAAGGATCACGAGAGTGAACTATGATCACTCCGTGACAATCTAAGAGACAATATCGTTATCCAAACGTTAATGCACCAAATCCACTCATATTCCTCAGCTTTCCACATATACTTCAGTTTTGGGTAACGAGGTGGTTACACCAAATCAACTCATATTCCTCAGCTTTTCACATATACTTCATTTGGGTAACGAGCTGGTTACACGATATCCTGGTGGAGTAACGTTGTAAATGATGTGTTTGTAGAAGAATACCCGGTGTATTGGGATTATGACATCACTCATAGTTCTAGCGGCTTTATGTTTCGAAAAATGTTGGCTAATCGTTTCATGCATACATTCTTTATGCAGACACAAAATGTCTCTAATTGAAATGAAGTTTTCTATTGCAAAAAGAGATTTTAGTCGTGTCATGTTCTACTGTCATAAGGATAAGATATAGATATGATAATGTTTTAAAAGCTAAACTGTACTAGCACACCCAATACCTAGAGATCGAATAAGATCTTACGTCAGACTACTATGGAATATCAACGAGTATTTTGGTATACAGTTGTTCACCTGATGTACTATCCTTATATCAAATTTTGGTATCGCGCGAAAAATGAATGAAATACATATCTTAGTTCTTACCCGTTGTAAGCCTTCCATTTGTCTCTTCCAGCATTGCGTACCAATATGGCTGTTCTGACATCTTCAGGTACATCAAACTGTGATTCTCATATAAGCATTTCAGGTGTTGAACATCGTCGATGTTCACTTGAGTATGATATAATTCGAGATGTCTCAAGGTGTGATGTTCGCGAGAAGCTTGAATAAATGCCTGTGTGAGTTTATGTGCCATAACAGATTCAGATATTCGGAGGCGTGAAATAAATTGATCATTTTTCAATGAGTCTATCAGACTAGCTTCTTTTCGATCCGATTGTTGAATATTTTTTACATGCAGACTGAGATGCTTGATTGATTTATGTTCTTTCACAGTATTCAAAAGATTAACAATGAAAGTTTCGTCTTTGAACCCAGTCTGATCCATAATGTCGATTTCGACAAGTGTTTGATTGGTTTTCAACATTTTACAGAAACGAGATAAAGTTGATGGTACCTGCAACGAATTGTTGAATTTTAATTGATATAATGTTTTCATTTTAGAATTAAACAGAGCATCTATGACATCAATATTGTTGGAATGTTCCATAATCAATCCTGTCACCATTCCTTTCGTTTCAAAGCACTTCTGGAGTTCACGTTCGTGGCCCATAAAGTCAGAAGCAGAAAAATCGAACATTCGACGTATCTTATTTTGTAGCAAGAGTTGAGTAAGCATTGACATATGTCCATCTTGGTAGCTGTCACAGAAGCGAACTTGGAAGGATTGATTATTGAACTCTGCAGTCATGCATTTGCAGACATACTTCGTCTTTCCAAACAGATTGCAAACACAAACTGCAAACATGTTAAGACATTGAATCGAGGAGCGATTGACGACAACATCAAGCAACCTGACAAGATCATCTTCTTTCAGTGTACATCCTTTAAATGTCAGTTTCAGAACGTTGAAACCTTTGGTGAGCGCTTTACATAATATTTGGACACTCTTGCTACTCAAATCCTTTGGACATAGCACTGCTTCTCTAGCTTTTGAATCGAATTTACCTCCCATGGCTTCCAGCTGATTGATATACTTGAACATCGCGTTATGAAAGCTGATATCATCATAGTGCTCTAGGCACACCCAACGTATATGTCCATCAACGGTGACTGTTCGGTACAGGTTTCCTAAACTATGTTTATTATTGGCAACGTCCAGATACGTTTCAACTTCACGCAGATCTGATTCGTGAAGTGGCACGCCACGTGACTTATCTTGCCCGAATATTATAGACTTTGAGTGTGCCCACTGATAGTCGACTCGGTCGAGTAATTTCTCAACCAAGTTTAACTGCTGTTCCATCTCTTTTTGCTTATTAGGTGTCGACACGATCTTATCTACACCGCTAATAACAGCTTTTGACACGCTATCCAGTTGTGGAATAGCAAAACTTCCAAGTTTGAATAAGACCTGAGCAATTTTCAATGTTGTCCGTAAATACGGTGCATACTTGACGATGAACTCTCTCGTCTTTTTAATCGAATAGCCGTTATGTGGAGCTACATGCATTAGATGAGGCTCATCTGAACATTCACACAGAAAATAGAGTTTGTAATGAAGATGATACCACTCTTGCACCGTGCTGAGTATTGTCAGATCGCTGTGCTTTGCCGGAAGAATGAAAAAGTAGCGAGGTGTAGTGAACTCATCCAATTCATACATTTGTGTCATGACTTCCTTTATTTGATTTATAATCGTTAATGTGGTCAGAATGAGATCGGCTTTTGCACCGATACGATCAAGGGGAGCATACACGACATCATTCGATTGCTCTATAACAAAAATGATAAATATGAAACTCTGGTGTTATAAGTAGCGTTTTTCATGTTTGCAGAAAAACAAATTGAAAAAATACAACATTTTACAAAGTTCGCTATATGATCAGAATATCTCCTTCATCAGAAACTTCACCAAACTATATTCATCATAACATATTTTGATAATGTGTTCTCTCACCAAATATTTAGATAAATAAACGAAGAAACTAAATATTAATGTTATTGTAAAAAATATATAACGGTTTAATAATAGGAAAAGATAAAATATAAATAGAGTTGATGTTAGTCAATATTGAATGTATCGATTTGATTTCAATTCTAAGAAATTTTCTGTCATCTAAAATAACTAACTGATAAACGGAAAACAAAATTCTGCTTAAAGGAATATTTATTTCTCTCAACCAGTTTCACCTTTTTTTAGTTTTTAAAGATTTTTTTCGGCAATAAAAAACTCATTTTTATGTAAATTGCTCATTCGAAAATCAGAGATTTTCTTTCAATAAACTTACCGATGGAATTGTTTGTTTTATTAACACTAGCATTGGTAGCTAATAGATTTTCCTCTTTGAATGTAAGTAGTTTTTGACGCCATTTCATACTCATATCATAAGCACCTCTCTGTGATGCGAGTTTACCAAGATCTTCATATAAACTGATATGTAATGGATCATCCGATGGAAGCTGTTTCAACAAACGAATAAAATATTTTTCAGCTAAATCAAATTTACCCATTTCCCATAATACATTTCCTAATGTTCGAAGATTTATTTCTTCATTTTCAATTTGTTGTTTCATATACATAAGAACTTGTTTTAAATCATGTTCATTATCATTACATAAAGTCATTTTAATGATCCATATTTGGTCACCATTACGTTTAATATTATTAAGACGAAAAATGGAACCAATCATAAATAGAACTTCTGATTCATTTGGAAAATCACTATGTTTACTAATATCAGCGAAAGGTTTTGTAGTGACTATCTTGGGATCAGCATCGATTTCAAATAATACTCGTTCTGAATCAATCTTTGTAGTTATATCCCCCAAATAGAAAAGAGCTGTTGTACGTTGTTTACTAGTAGAAAACATTGAATTTATAGAAATGTACTGGCCAATATTATTTTTAAGACCATCTAACTCATCGATCGACATTAGCTGACATCGATAAACGCCTACAAACTTCTTAGATTGATATTTTTGTAGTTGTCGATAAATATCATAAATAAATGATCGAAATAAAAATATCATATGAATATTTTGTGTTCGTAAAGCTGCATTAAGAGTTTTATAAAAGAATGATTCTCTTGTATACCACCATAATACTTTATCAAGTGAATAATCTTGTTGAAATGTATGAAGATTGTTTAGTTCGATACAATTTCCTTTATATTCATTTTCACAAAGATTAATAAGTTCATTTTTGTCTATTTCAGTTGATTTTAATCGTAAAAGACAATCAATAAGAATTTGAGAAAAAACAAATTGCCCATTAACTCCTGTTGTTGATTTACCTGGATCAACATTTGTTGTGAAAATATTGATTGATAAGGGTTCTTCTACCTTTTTCTGAATTTTATGATCTGTTGTAATTTGAGAGATAAGTTCATCAAGATCAACAACAACAGATTTTATCTATAGAAAAAACAATAAAATGAAATAACAATCTTTTAGAAGAGTTTTACTTTTGAAAAATTGTAAGCCCATTGTTCATTACTCTTCTTATCCATACAATAAACATAAATTGATATAACTTGTCGAAGTTGATGAATGTAGGGTACTATTTCTCGTCCTAATCGACCACTAACAATGATTACTAATCGACCGTTTTCTGATCTCTGTTCAATATATTGTTGACATTGTTTTATATCTTGAAATTTCTTTATATGATTAATAATAGAACGTAATTTTACTTCTGTATCTCGAGCATCTTTAACGTCTACATTTGCATTGAGCCAAATAAGAGAGAATATTTCCAGAGACTTATCATCGGTGTTTGTGTAAAAATCATCATTTGGTAGAACAGCAGTGGCCATCTTAACTAAGAAGACTAAATAGTGTAGAGTTCTCAAATGTAATGTGTTTAGTCTATATATAATTATGGAATCAATTCTGTGTTTTTTACAGTCAAAAAAAAGAAGGTGGCATTTTCTTTACTATTATTTCATTTATTTACGATATTTTCATATCAGTTTTTTTCAAACTTTGATGTAAATGAAAACAAAACAAGAATAATATGCTATTATTGATTAAGGGTGTGTGCGGGTGTTGTATCTCCCTAGTACTCAATTATGATCATGTTATGTTAACTTACCTTACAAAGTGAGGCAAAGTTCAATAAGATGTTTAGAAGAACCTGATCAAGACAATGAAAAATGACTGAGTTAGATGAAAATAAATTCTTTGTATGCACATTGTTTACCTCTGTTCTTTGTATTCATCTGTCCTTGCAAGAGGTAACTCTTGTTTCTCTTGTGTCTGTTCTTATCAACACAGATAAACGAGTTTGTCATAAGCAAAAGAAAACGGCTATGCACCAGAATAAAATTTATTTGCGAAAGTGAGTCTATTTTGATAAAAGCAAATTAGTTATAGAATAATTCAAAAACTATACATAAAGGATCTATAAAGGTCTTGATCACTTATTTGTGTTTGCATCCTCAGCATCATAAGGCTGGATAGGCCCTGATAGATCCTAGTAGACTCAGGTAGAACCTTTTGAAAATATCGATAAAAGTCAGAGAAACTCAATTATTTTGGGGTTCATTGTTTTTTGAATTCCCTTGTAATTCATCTGCGTCATCCAGTAGACTAGTGAGTGCCCTCTCGGTAAATCCAGAAGAACAAATAATTTTAGAGAAAAATTCAATTAGATAATCAAACAAACGATTCTGTAAATGACTGAATGTTTCTTCTTTGAATAAAAAGATTTAGTATTCATCGCATAATTAATAGAGAAACATCTGCGATTATGAACAGAAGTGAAAATCAAATACGAAAAGACATAAACTTCATCTTAACTAGGGTATGGGTGTAGGTACTACTTGAGATTGGCACCCTCGCTCACACCCATATCCACCCACACCCACACCCACAGCCCACACCCTCACCCACACCCATATCTACCCGCACCCACACCCACCCTCAAGATTTTAGAATTTCGAAGAGATAGTATAATTCAAGAGAATTATTGTTGAAAAATATAATCAAATTGCAACTCCTTATTTAAAAAATGAACAGTTTTCTTTCAGTCAGATAAGATTAAGTCTCAGTATTGTAACCTAGTCGTGATTAGATGGATTGTACGATTATAATCACCTGAATAAATTAATGCAACTTTTCTTCTTGCATCAACAATATATTCAAGAAAACCTATTCTCTAGTGATTTCACACCATCTAATTTTTTATTACTTTGCAGCCTGTGAAAATTTATCAAGTTCATATGCAGAAACATCTTTACAAAAATGAGTGAAGTCATCATGAAACATTGAACAGAAAACAGGAATATATAAATCTGATCTCGACATGACATATATAGATAAATGACTTTCATAAACTATTGTAACCTATAAACTTACGCTGATATAGCTTTGTTAAGACGAGAAAGATTGATCTAAGCTCTTGATGATCATGTATTTCTTTCTTCAGCTCAAATTCAGACCAGTTGTTTCATTGGTCAAAAATGTCAATTCTACAAAAAAAAGTATTGGCATCATTCTCGATGATATTTTACGTGATGAAATTCGACCATATATGACATTGACTGATCAAACAATATTGGTGAAAATCATTGCTGCTTCAACGATGATTATGTTTGTTGGAGGTTTGATCAATAGTATGTTATCTCTACTAACATTTCAAAGTAAAGACCTACGACAAGTTGGATGTGGAATCTATCTCTTAGCATCATCCATTACTTCTTTTCTTACAATCAGCATGTTTACAGTAAAGTTTTGGTTTGTTGTTCTCACTCAAATGGATCTATCGATTCCTGTTTCTGTTGTTCGAGGAGGTTGTGTATCGATCGAAACTCTTCTCAAGCTTTGTCTATATTTGGATGCTTGGCTCAATGCTTGTGTGGCCGTTGAAAGAGCAATTCTCGTTTTCAAAGGAGTTAACTTCGATAAACAGAAAAGTCAACGGATTGCTCGATTAATAATTCTCATTTTACCATTCTGTATCATGGTTTCAATCATTCATGAACCTATACACCGAGAATTACGTGTGATAAAGACAGAGACGGACAAAGTAGATATCGACAAATGGTGTTTAACTCATTATTCTTCTTCTGCTCAACAATACAATACAATCATCCTATTTTTTCATCTTGTTGGTCCATGTATTGTCAATCTTTGTTCTGCTTTATTCATCATATTCGGATCAGCCCGACAAAGATCAACAGCTCAGACAAGACAAACTCTAAGAGAACATATTTATAATCAACTTAATGAACACAAACAATTATTAATCAGTCCAATCATTCTTCTGATTCTATCCTTACCTCGTCTGATTATGTCAATGTTATCAGAATGTGTCAATCCATCGAACCATCGATTGTTATTTATTATTGGTTATTTCATTTCATTTACTCCATCGATGCTTATCTTTATTGTCTTTGTCCTTCCTTCAGCATTGTACAGAAAAACATTTCAAGAATCATCCAAACGATGGCGACGACTCATTCATCAATAATCAAAATTTCTTCATTATTTCAGAACTTTTCTAATTTATTGATATAGTATTCGCTTCAACTTAATAGAATATTTTCCGCCTTTTGCATAAACTATCGGATAATGAAAGATAAATTTGATAAATTTAAGGTGATATTATTTCTAACCAGTTGAAAAATGAAGAACGCTTGGCGTGAAGGCGAAATCTCACAAGCATTGAAAGTGTCGTTTCTGAAAATAGTTCTCATATCAATTTCGTAGCTTGTTATTTAATAAAATTTTATGTCAATGTAGTTTTCATTCCTAAAAATAGTATTTATAAACTGAATAGTTTTCAAAAATGATCATTTTTAGAGAAAATCAAACGGTGTATCTTTCCAGAATAATGATGTGTTTCTAGAATAGAAGTTAATAAAGATAAATATCAAATACGAATAATACCATGTTTTATGTCACATTCATATGACCATAAATTATATTAGCTCTCTCTCAGTCGTAGCAAAGGGTATGAATATGAGTGTGAATATCGATAATGAATAAGAAGAATACAGATACCCACATCCTTTTTGAATATACTTAATAAATATATATTAATAACTAAATGAAAACTATAAATCAAAGAATTAATTAGAATTTTCTGTTGGTTGAGTTGATGTTAATGCGGGTGGTGCTTTCTTTCGATCATTCATTTTTACTCGTGCCATTGCATCCATCATCCATTGTAATGATTCAGTTACCTTATTATATATAACAAAATCTTTCTGAATGATAGAAAAAAATACAAATTAGTATATCTACCTTTTGTGCATGATCTTGCATTTGTTTATCGATCTAAATAATATTTTAACGATTTTTAACAATAATTATTTCTAAATTCGTTTTTTTCTCTCTTAGAGTTTCAAAACATAACTTGAAAAGTAAATTTTCTGTGTGATCAATGTGAATGTTATCATGATAGAAATTCTCACAAGTTTGTTTGCTTACTTCATTCATCTTTCGTTGTTGATCAACAATTGCTTTCATCATCTCAGATCTATAGAGAAAAATAGATGTTATAAAAACCTTTTACAAAATGTTAATCATACTCATTCGTGCTAGTTGTATTATGCGAATGGTCATCGTCAGATAATAGATGAACATTCTTTGTAGCTTTTTCTACTTTTGATCGTGCACAATTGTGAGTCGCAGCATTTTCAAATGCATCCCAACGTTCGCTTGTTAAAGTGTTAGGTTCTGCGATCATTTCTAAATTTTTATTTGTTATATTCATTGAATGAGATAAATCGAGTTATCAATCTTACTGAAATTACGTAATAATGTTATTGATTCTGATGTATGATTACTATCTTCAGTTCTTTTACAGGTTATTTTTGAATAAATATAACGAATAAGTAATATAGCATGCGAAATTATAATTAATGGTGGATAAGCGCATGGTGGTTGTTTAAAATATTCACGAATAAATGAATAACATTGACAACGCCAATAAAATTCTGTATTTTCTTTCACTTTATCAATTGTATCACTAAATTTTCTAATTAATTGTCTTTTACAATATAAAAAATGAATACTTACGTAAAAACAGCAATTAATAAATTCAATATAAGAACATTAATAAACAACATATGAAATGTTAATAAAACATGTGTAGCAGTTGCTTCAGCAACACGTGATTGTGTACCATTACTGATTATTTCTAAATAAATATAAAATCAAATCAGATATTATATAGTTTTAAACTAGAAGAGTCTTTACTATCGAGTAAATCTTTGTCAGAGACATCTCCATATATAAACCAGTATGGTTCATAGAAGATTGTTCGAAATATATCACTACTAGTAAATGGAATTTGTTTGTAAAGAATTAATGCACGAGATACAACACCATATGCAGCTATTGCAATAAAAATCATATAGAAAAAAGCAGCTAGATCACGAAGCTATACATTAATTCATTTATATATCGAATATCTTATTTAATATCAATATACAAACCATATTTTTAAGCATGAATAATTTGGGTCCTACAGATCTTAAAGCTACGACGAATTTCAATGAGCCAAGAAACCATAATTCAAGATCAAATGCCCATATAATTCTAAAATAATACTATTTTTATCGTATATATTATTCATATGAATAAACAAATAACCTTTCAGCAGCAAAAACATTATCTTTATAACCGGTATATCGAAATATTAGACCAAGATAAAATAAAAAATATGATGCAATATGAAATATATTTGTTAAAAGTGTTAATACAGTTGATTTGGTTGAACCCCATTGTTCAACCATTCGATATTTGTATTCATGAATAAGCTTTATTAAAGAGTAAAATAAACGTTTTTATCAATTAAAACTTTACCTTTCGAATGTCTTCACAAAACATAGTTGATACTGTAATAATAACATAGATTTCAGTCCAATGTGGAATTCGAAATGTTTCTGGACCATCAAGATGATAAAGCATCATATAACTAAATACAAGTAAAAACCAAATATAACTTATCTAAATACATAAAATAATTAATATATTTGATTTAATAGAAATTTATTTACAAAATGATAATACATTCTAATGAATGGGCTTCCATGAAAATAGCAAAAGTGGGTCCAATATTTTTTAAATGCACTTTTAGCTGGTTCTTTATCGGCATAATAATTGATACCTTCTGTTGATAATCTAAGTGAGAAGTTTGATTAATTTGACAAAAAAAAAAATGAATATCTATTTACGATGTATCTTGCATATTCTAAAGATCAAATAAAATAGAATTATTTATATAAAAAAAACCTTCGTTTACGTACGGTTTCTTTTTCTCGATACCAAATTGTCCATGGTGCTAAAAGTCCAAAAGTTATTATGGATAGAAATTGTAATGGCCTTGTTGATGTCTGACTATTTCTCATAGACAGTTTATTATACCATACTTGAGTTAGTGTTTGATCAAAACAAGCTGTTCCAACTAGTTGAATATTTTCGCTTGAAATAGCGATCTAAAATTATGTTTGAATATCGATATTAAAAATGTTTTTTTAATAGATAACCTGCATGCATGTAATATTACCAAAGAGTGGTACTTGTCGTAGAAGTAATTCACATGCTGATCGTTCATTATATTTGTAACAGTCATTGATAAAATCAGCTGCATATTCTCCAAAGTCATCTCCTTGTATTTGAAATTTTTCCTTGAGATCAACAGTTGACGACAATTTCGAGTATTGTTTAAATATAGCTGAAGCTATTAAAGAAGCACATATACGAGATTGTTGATGAATGAGAAATATTTTCGCCATTTCAGGCATATCCATGAATACCGACCATAAAAATAAATCACGTAATAGTTTATTCTTTTCAAGTAAATATTCCGCATTGTTATTTTCACCTGAAACATTCGTATCTTTATTGTCACCTGAACCTTCCGTATCATTTTCTTGATCCTGAGATTGAGTATCTCTACCATTTTGTGGAGAAACTTGATTATCATCCAAAGCACGATGCTTTCTTGCACTACTGCAACAACTACATACATGATTTGTCAGGTCAATACAAATACGTTTCGTACATGTATTATCTTCTTTTGAATAAATTGCATCAATAAATGAACCAATAAATTTATTTAACTTTATATCAAGTGTTTCTATTGTTTTCCCGATTGATTGACCAAATAATTCTTTTATATAGCCACGATTGCTCTTTATTAAAAAGAAGAAATTTTATTGTAAGTATTAGCTTAGTCTTATAATTATACCGTATCTATTCCCTTATAGGTATCTTGATATAATTGTAATAGTTCTGCATAGCGTTGTTGTTCAACACTTTGAGTACCAATGCGTTTCAATGGATCAAAAGCAGTAGCAAGAAAATGTTCAGCATGTGGAGTACGAAGGAGTTTAAGTTGATCAAAACCAACAGTAGGAAAATGTTCAGCACCTGGAGTACGAAGGAGTTTAAGTGGATCAAAACCAGCAGCAAGAAAATATTCAACAAAAACTGGATGATTTTTTATCAATGACTCTCGAAATAACTTTTTGTAACATGTCATATATTTCTATTGTAAAAATGAAACAGTAAATTCTATACTATTAATAAATCTCACTTTACCTCTTTAATTTCGTTATTATTGCTGGTAGTATGTTGTCGTTTTTTTAATATTGATAAAGCACCATCAAAATAGTTCCATTGAGATGCCAGATTTAATAATATGTCTTCATCCTCTGTATCTTTTTGTTCACCATTATTGATTTCATTTTGTTTATTTTTCACTTTGAAAGAAATATGAAGTAATTAAAGTATTATTTGATCACAATACATACTAGTAAAAATAGCTTTAAATATTGTTTCTGCTACACTTTTATCACGGTCCATACGGAAAACATTTAGTAAATGACGATTCTTTTTATCTAATATCTCTTGTATTCCTTTCGTTATTTGACCAATTTCACCTTTATCGAGACTAGGAAAGAATTCAGTCAGAGCTTTTCCCACAATTTCATCTGATGGAATACTAAAAGTAAAAATATAAATAAATATTTCTAACATCTAACGAATAGATGAACTATTTAATCAACTCACAATTGTTGATCATTCTTTGCATCAGCTGTTTGATTGATTAACGAAGCAAATACATCTGCTAAACGGCCACTATCCTACATATAAAATAGTGTAATTTTCATCTTTCAATAAAATATACATACTTCAATAAATACAATCGGCCGTTTTTTTTGTATATCATTTTGAAGAACTTCAATAGTATTCCTACCACCTTCAACAATAATTGTTACACCATAACCTTTGAATATTATTCATTCAAAACAATCATACTATTTCAATAATACATACATTTATCTTTATCATTTTTATCTTCCATTGCATGTTCAACTAAAGCACTTCGTTGTTCATCACTTAGATAACTACCTAGTTTACCATCGTCAAACAGAATACAATGTGTATGGTTTCGTTCGATGGTTTCGTCAGTATCGTCGTCATCATCAGGAATTCGTCGAGAAAATAGCTTTAGTCCATAGCACTCCTATCAAAAAAAAAACTATTTATGTATTTAACAAATAATGTCATCTTATTGATACTTTAGGTGTCTCTTTCAATTCAAAACGTGTACTTCCATTAATTGTTCCCCATTTTGTTAGTCCAATACAAACAATTTTATTTGGATTAGCTTTCAATAAACGATAATGAGATATTCCTTCACCAATTAATTTTGATACACCATTATTAATACCGGTGGTTAGAATCCAAGCATCTTAAAATAACAAAAAAATTGTATTTTACAAATATATATATATAATTTACTAGACGTTGCTGCAGCATCAATTATACCGCGTATAATTTCTTTTTCCAGTTTTTCAGTCATAGTGAAATATTTAGCCCCACCATAAATACTTAAAATGAGACCTGGTTTTGTACCTCCACAATCGTTAACAAGCAACTCATAGATACGCTCCATATGTGTTTGATGATCAATTCGGATATATTTACAACCAATAGATCCAGTGGATTTTAATGTTCCGTATGTGGTCACAGGAACAATAGTAGAATGTATGGGCTTAAATTGCTGTGGAGAATTTGGTACCTTAGCATTTTCTTTGTTTGCACTTAGTGATATGTTGTTGGGATCATCAAAACTATGGCGTCGAACTAAGCGACCACAACAACATTTATTGTTTGCATCATCTCGAGGAGTCTGTACTTGTCGATTATAAATTCTGCAAGTACGAGAGTCGATTTTCTTATTTGCAATAGCATCGAAAATCAAATCTTCCCATGATTTTTTTGATTCCATCTAAAACACTTTAGATATGATACGTTGTTTTTAATAAAAACGACATCGATTAAATGTTACATAGTAGTATGAAGTTTGATAAAAAAGTGAAACTTCTTCTTCTCGCAGAAGAAATGAGAGAATAAATGAAATAAGATGCTACTATAGAATAATAAATGCTATTGACAAATTTTAACGGTATTTATATAAAAACATCTGTAATCATATCAAAGAATCCTGTACAAATATTTGATTATTGTTTTATAATCATGAAAGCATAGCAACTGTATAATGAGAATCCAGCTCATTATCGTTACTACACAAAACATTTATTCTTTGAAAGAATAGAAATGTATCAGTTACGTCAATTATAAATAGCATCGAGACGATTCTTAACTAAAGAAATAATACAAATGGAGATGTTTTGTTATTTGAGAACATATTCATAAGACATATTTTACGACTATCGAACTTTTTCTTTGACTTATATGTGTTTGATAATCATATCACATGTATCATATGAATACGTTTTCAAACAGCAAAAAATCTCCGTTTTCATTATTTCTTTAGTTAAAAATCGTAACAACTTTAAAATTTAACATCGTCTCGACAATATTTATAATTGAAGTAATTGATACATTTCTTTTCTTTAAGAGAATAATTTTTTTGTGTAGTGACAACGATGAAGTAGCTTTTCATTATACAGTTGCTATGCTTCCATGATTATAAATCAATAATCAAATATTTGTACAAATATCGATAAACTTTGTCAATAACATATATTATTCTATGATAACATCTTACTTCCTCGTTTCTTCTGCGAGGAACACAAGTTTGTTTTAGGGTGTGGATGAGTGTGAGAATACGAATCAACCAAAGATCAGTGTTCATGCCCACGCCCACAATTTCAACGAGAAAATATTCGATCTCACCAATAACTTCATCTCTGTCTTTTTTTGATTATGACTTTTGTCAAAAGAAAATTTCATAAGAAAAAATAAAAAGAGGAATTGATAAGTATGACGGCATTATACTTTAGGTCTTATGTGAAAGTATCAAGTGGCTCTGATTCAATATTGATTTGTGATTTGTTATTTGTAATATGAGAAGCCTCTTTTATGAAGATAAAGATAGGAAAACGGAACTGATAAGAGAGCTTAGTGGTTTGTGTGGAAAGTTAAAAAGGTATATATACAATAGAATCTGATAGTCGATAGTACATAACGTTAATATAGAAGCTATTCGATACAAGTACAAATTATATTTCATTTCGAAATCGAAAAAATTCATTGATATGACTCGTACTCTCGTTCTTCTCGCTGTCATCGTTCTCATCCTTGGAAATACATTTGGTATGTTAGAAATGATTTTAAGCGCTTGTAAACATAAGCATACTTCTACCTTATAGATATGGCTTCGGCTGGTAGCTGCGGATGTCCATGGAATTCAGCGCGTTGTGAGGCCAATTGCATGGGCAAGAATATGGGAGCTATAACTGGTTCATGTCGAGGAATTGGTTACACATCGTGCAAATGCAAAGTAAATGGAAGCTGGAAATCGATTGCTGGTAAATGCGATAACTAAACGCTTTTTTACTTTTCTCTTGTTAGTCCTCATACCATAATGATTACTTTCCTCAAATAAAGCTATTCCACATGATTTTATTCATAATTAAAAATTTACTTTCTCAATATTTAAGTATCGGATATAGAACACAGATACATATCATTAGACCAATAATACAGTGTTCGATTAAAAAAGTATAGGTTGGATGTGATTGTGGGTGAGATAAATAAGATACACCGACACCTACACCCGCAAAAGATATTCTTAGGATGTCTTAAAAGAAAAGTTCAGTACTTGGGATTATTGATAGTTCTGCAATTTTACTTAAAAGTAATACAACACTGAAATACAATAGAAAAGGCCTTCGTTTTCACAGCGGAAAATCGTTTTAATTTAAGCGTATATTTTATATGTCATATCGAATGGATCATGTAAAATATGTTGAAAGAATTCATTCAGATCTTTGTAGATAATCTCTTCGCTGCAACATCGTATTTGAACGTTTCCATTGTCTGGATGTTTTTCTTGCAAATGTTTAAACAATAATATTGTTTTGTATTTTTGTTTTTGTGTTGGACATCGTGGACATTTTTTACCTTTCTTTGAACTTTCAAATACTTCTCCAGTTGACGGAAGAATTAATTTCATTTTCCCCTTCGGACAAAACCTTTGACTACCCTTAACATTTACAGGAACTTTTGACACATCTATAACAGACGTTAGATGTTTTTTTGCTCCTAAAAGATGTGCACGAAGTCCCTCCGGAGTAAATTGACGTTTGCTATTTACACATTCAGGACATTGATATTTTTGATTTAATACCATACGGATAGAACGAGTAATTATATTGGGTTTATTTTGTAACATTCCATCAACTAATTTTTGATCATTTTCATCCGAATAATTTTTAATATTACTTCGAGAACCACCTAATAATATTTCTAATACAGAGCTATTTGTATGTTCAATTTTCTGTAGTGTGATCTCCTTTTTAGGATAATCATATTTTACAGCTTCAATAACTTCTTCATAGACGCAATCACCACCGCCAACTATTGTAATGCTACTAAATTCATTTACTAATTTACCAAGAAAATAAATTAACTTTCCATCCGCTGAGTTCTTGCAATTCTTTAAATGACTGGGTGCAAGAGTAACATTGTGATATTTTGTTAGTTGTTGTAGTTTCTTGTTGATAATTTCATCGATATTATTCCAAAATAAATACAGTTCACAGTTATTTGGAAGTTGATCTACCCAGACAGACAAAACCTTTAAAAAAACGGCGAAAAA